AAAATTAACTAGGGTTTTGGTTTTTAATTGCAAAGAAGGTCTTTAATTTTTATTTATTTTGTATTTTATGTCTTTAACTTTGTGTTGTTACATTATTATCCTTATACTTTAACTAATTAACACATCTTGTCCATAATGAAAGATTAGCACTTTGTGAGTAGATTTTGTCGGATATATGGTGAATGATATATTTTATATCTAAACATTAATGCGCACACAAATACCTTAGAAAGAAATTCGATAGAATTTCGTTTTTATCAAAATCAAGAAAAGTGGGAAAGAGAAGTGAAGAAAATGAGATCTTGATGGAAGCAATTGGTGTCCATAGTTGATTACAATTGCCTCCCGAGTACAATGATCACTTCGTGAGATAACAACATTTCAAATCTTGAAAAATTCCAAACCAAATAGTGTTTTGGCCTCTCTTATTAAACTAGAATTTTAATAAATGCAGAATAATTTACGAACTGTTATGGTATATGCAAAAATTGCAACATTGAATATATGACTCCGAGTACAAAATAAAGTGACCAATTGTACAATTATATGAGCCCAAATATAATAAGTGAAAAGTCGTGTTTGAAAATACACAACTTCATGTATGGAAACTAAAAACGTCTAACTATTCAAAAAAGACATGTTCAAAAAGATATGACTTTTAGGCTTAACAAATTCGAAAATATTTCACCATATTAGAATTTCAATTTTCAGCCATTTTCATGTTCATTTTCGACATTAATTTCTCATTCGCTCGAACTTGAATTCGAGCAAGCGTGGACTGATCCGAACTAACTCTCCCATAGCCGAGATGGCATGGCCCGTAAACCTGCCCAATTCTCACACTATCAGCTACTAGTCCAGATTGGGCCTATGCCCATTACCATTTTAGTTGTATGGCCTGGCCCACTGGCCCATCTCAAAAGCTGGCCGATATGATGACGTGGCTAGTTTTAATTCGTAGGATGACGTATATCATTCTTTCCACACTCGATTATTTCCTTCCACAACGAGAAGCAAAAGTTTGCAGGCTGAGTTTTGAGACTTGGACAGCAAATCGATAATCGAAAGTTTTCAAGTTATATGCAATTAAGAAGATGGGATTAACATGGTGCCTTGCCCTAATTTTAATCCCAAATCTCTTCTACCACGTCGTATCCTCCAATCAGATCATCTCTGTTCATACAGGTAAATTTTAATTTCTTTATCGAAAATCATTTCTCATTGAAAAGCGAATTAAGGGACAGGGATTTGAATTTCTATTGACCTTCGATTTTCTTAGCCTAAACAGTAATTATAATCATTTTTGAATATATTACTTTAGTGAGTTTCTCTTTTCAGATGAATTTTTTCGATGATTATTTTATTATTTTTTAGTTGAAGTGAAAATGAGAAATCTTCAATAGAGGATGCAGCTATTAATCAAACATATGAGTAGCATGATACTAGTTGATTCTATAATATATAGGATAAATACTGTTTTATTTTTGTTCTTCATTTTTGCTGGTTTACATGTGTTTAAAACTAAAATTACGAGTAGATATTGGGGAGATTGAATCACTAGCATGATGTCTGAGATGACAGAACCAATATTGTCGGGATTGATCGTACATATTTACGGTAAAATTAAGTATTTAGCTTTCTGGTTACAACGCGAATATTTTGATATTTTCATTATTTGAATCCTCTTAATGGAGTACTGTGGGATTATATGTGGCTGCTTGTAATGTTCTATTTAGGTCATCCATTTGTCATTTGGTTCTTGCTTTGAACCTGGTCCGATAATACGATTTTTTGCCTTTTAATTTACTGAAGGACTGTCCTTCAGGTTTTTGCTCTCATGCTGTCATACTGACTTTACAGGTGGGACATTTGGCCGGGGCTCTCGTGAACCAAAATTCAATATTGAATTCCATTCGGAAGACTCACCCTTCTTTTCTGTAAGTCATATAAATTAAGTAATCTCCTTTTTCTTGCATTGACCAAATTTTGCCAGTAGGAATAGATACATTATTAACATAGACGGTGCTTCCAAGTTAAATGCTGGATTGAAATGAGTTTTGATCTATGTAACCTAAATCAGTTTGCATTCTATTTTTCTAGAAGCCACCTCATGCAATAACGGCAGATGTGCGTCACATCAATTATATCTTTCTTTTTTGTTTGATATTTATACTTTCGGATATAAAAGTGGATGGTACTGTATGTCAAGAAAGAGATTCTTGACATTAGTAGACTAATTTATTCATTGGTAAGGCATTGATCTGCTGTTGCAATGACAGCAAAATTAGGACATTTTGGCCTTATATGATACTTTCTTGTGAACATAATAAGAGATCTAAGTAAGCCGTGACTAGTTAGAAGCCGTATGAATGAAGCCTTCTTCAGAGTCTCATCATAGTTGCACATTGTTCATCCACAAGTATTTTGGTGATATGGCGACTTGTTGCATATACTCGTGTAGCAGCATCTCCTTGGGCCTGTGCAGAACTTATTTTTGTCTTCTAATTTATAGGATTAGATGAAAAAAGTAAAAGAACTTCTTTCTGTCACCATTTCCTTTTGTGTTTAATGTAGTGGTTAATGAATTTTGACTGTGTGACTTTTAGAAGAGAAAGCTACACACTTTGTATAGCATCCATGATATGGAATATCTTTTAGGTACTTTATTTGTTTCTGTATGTGGGATCACTGATTTTAGAGTAAATAGTAGATAATAACTGTCTGCAAGATTTAGTTTGTGCACATGCATTTTTCTGTTATACTAGGTGGATGTTTTTCTGGAGGATGGGAAATTATTCTTTAATTCTCCTTTCTTTTCTATGCTGTAGTATTCATTTTTCACTCACTAAGCATACTAAAATCAGTATAATTCTTCATATCCTTTATCTCCAAATTTTGCTATCATTGACGTGTAGTTGATTATCTACTTTTCAGGACGATGACCAGGAATCTTTGATTATGCCCAATAAAAATGGAGAAAAGTTTCTTTGTTTTTTGCCTAAAGTAGAGAAATCAAAGGGTGGGAAGCTAGTTAGTCTACAGAACACAAGTAGTATGATATTGGAGACAGAGAAAACAATGAAAGTAAAGACACCAGACGAGTTACTTGAAGTGCTTAAAGATCGGTGTTTTATTAGGGTAAGGATCCATCCCAATCACCCCTCCCCCTCCGCACCCTGGCACATGTGCCATGTTAACCTATATAGCTAGTTCAAACTTCAAAAGTTGGTTATTGTGCATACTTAACTAGATTGGGGCACTTTTATAATAAATGCAGCAAGAAGGATGGTGGTCATATGAGTTCTGCTATCAGAAGTGGTTGCGACAAATTCATTTGGAGGAGACTAAGGTAATTTTTGACTATTAGGATTTATTTCGCTATAAGAAAGTTCCTTCGATTTTGGATATGTCATAACGTCTTTTACAATGTTGAAATTAATAAAAATATCCAACCCTTGTTGGTTTACTTTGAGAATATTTTAGAAGTGTCATGTATGTTAAGTTTTGTGGTCTGAACTTTGACCATTATATCACTTATTTAATTAAATTAAGAAACTGATCAGATGATTATATTAGTCTAGAAACTTCACTTGTTTATGTTTCTTTCCATCTTGATATTTCTACGCCAGTATAGATGATATATGGGCTGTAACATCTTGTAGATGGTTCAAGAATTCTTTTTGGGTGTTTATGATGAAAATGCTACGACAGCTTTCAATCAGAACCTTCCTGACATCTCTTTATTGAAAGATCCTCGCTCAAGTGATGCATCTCAAAGGTATAGATTTTAGACATGCATTTTATTTTCTAAATTCACCTATAGGTGGGGCCTTGGCTGATCCCTACCTGTAGATTAGATTAGAAAAGAGACTACAGTAGGCGTAGCCTAGAACCTTAACTCCTTACCTAGGGAAAAGGAGGAGCAATACTAGCAAAATATCAAAATACCATTCTGCTGGCACTCTACCACTAAAGCTTGTGTACCATCTTCAATAGAACCTAGTGGTTACTCCTAGAAGGAAATCGTAAATATACCATAAAAATCCTGGTGCTAGAAGGAAAGCTCAAAACTACCATAATAAAAATCCATATATGGGAGGATTATAAAAACACTAGAAATACTCAATTATAAAAATACCTAAACCATCCCTAATTTCCTTTATTGGGCTGCATCGATTTCTTTCCAGCCAAATGAACCAAATAATGAGTATTAGTGGTTTATTTACTGATAGAAGAGTGTTTTATTGCTAAATTGACTCTATAATTATGATACATGATCATTGTGTAGGTACCATGCTCATCTGTTCAACAATGGAACTCTCTGTGATTTAACAAATCAGCCTCGGGAAACAGAGGTAGAAAATATTCAAATTTATACTCACTTCTCTTATTTTTAGTATTGTTCTTCATGATTTTAGTCCTTTTGTCTTCAATTCCAGGTCAGATTCGTTTGTTCAGAGCCCAAAGCAGTGATAAGTTCTATCACTGAATTGTCAACATGCAAATATGCACTCACATTCCATTGCCCAATGCTTTGCCAGCACCCGTAAGTCTGACTCTCTCTCTCTCTCTGTGTGTGTGTGTGTGGGTGTAGGGGGGGGGGGGTGGAAGTTCTTAGGGGGGCAGAGTTTACACATGCATAACGCTTGCACTTGCAAAAGTACACTACGTTTTTGGACTCGAAGGCTCATTTAGATGCACACCTTAACAGTGTGCTTTGGTTAGGGCAATCTTTATATTATCTTCTGAACAGTTTATTGTATCTAAATGGCCAATATTATACAGTACAGTTGATTCAAATTTAGTCTGAGGGGTGGGTTTGAGGTTGCTTCGTGATATCTGGATGCACTAGCAATAATTGATATGAACTCTTAGTATTACTGCACTTGGAAAATTGTGAACTCTTCAATGTTCACGACCTTTATCTTGTTGCTGGCTTAAGAAATTAAAATTTCAAAGAAATGTTCATTTGGTACTTGATAACAAGTTGTCTACATAACATATTAAACAAACATAATATTACTCCACCGTTAGAATCTGAAAAATACGATCCCCAAGACACCTCAACATATTATTATGGTTCTGTATGCTATATTATTTGCTTTACAGTAAATTACTAAGTTGTAACTAAAATTCAAATGACTCGTAAATTGTTTCCCTTACCATACAATTCAAAGGGAAAATTAAGCAAAATAAAATAACGAAATAGATGAGTAATAATATAAAAAATATAATAAAATTCTCCAAGAAACTAATTTAAAGTTTTATTCATACAAATAATAAATAATAATAAGAGTTACACCCCCATATAATTTTATTAATTCACGCTAAAATAGACAATTATTCTATATCTATTACTGTATAATCTTCTGGCCTTATGAGACTAACGTTCTTTTTCTTAAAAATTGTGGCCTGAAATACAGCACAAAATAAAGAGACAATTATAATTATGACAATAAGCAAAAAGAGTAACACCAATGCGGGGGGACTCTTGAGAGCTGGAAATATTCATGATATTATGAATATTGACACGAAAAAGCACCTCTTCAGGCGACAACTCTCTCATTTATGTAATCAGCTTATTCTTAACAAAGTTCACAACTACAATTGTATGTGTTTGTCTGTTTAGAATATATTCAATCATCTACAGCAGAAAATTATATTCTTCTTTTATTGTTCATTGCATGGCACTCTTCAATTGAAAATATAAGAGGATCTAGCTGTTTATTTCAATAGAAATATATTGGATAAATCATGATATTGAAGGAAAAGCATTCCATAATGTGAACTTTTTTAATGAGGGAACAAATTCCAATTATGATTCAAAGTTGAGTTGCAAATTTATTAAATATTTATTTGTAGTTCGCTATACTGATGGTGGGTTCTGGGCGTTTTCGCTTTGCGATTGGCATGATTGTGGGGTTCTTGTTTGTGCCTATGTACTTTCATAAGTTGCTTTAAGCATTTCAGTTGTACACAGGTTATTCCAAGAAGAAAGACCAGCGTCACATACAATTCACTGTAATGCACTTCCAAAGGACTTGAAGGAGTCAAAGGTGGAGGAAGATGATTTTCAAGAAAGAAAAATAAGTACGGTCACTGAGGTCGAGAATTTACCTTCTTTCGATTCAGAAGTGCATGATGCGGTATAAAATATAAGACCGAATCATGGGGGAGGAGTTCTCTCAATATTACGATGGCTGCAATGAATTTTTGGCTTTCAGTGTAGGAACCAGTCTGGGAATTGAGCATCATTTCTTCCAGATGTGGTAAAAACGAAGTTGTTCTTAGATCAAGATATTAGGGCTCTTGATGGATTGGATGAGTCGAATCAAAGTAATCTTTCGCGTGTAACATTAAGAATCTCGTTTGTGAGGCAATATGATAATACTTTTTTTTTTAATTTTTTTGGTTTAATATAGTTATAAATTCCCGGTTCATCATGTGGTGTGCGTATAGTGATAAGATTTCAAAAAGGTCTAAAAGGTAAGCTATTTAACAGATACTTTGATCTCCGCTTCTCCAGGAACAGGCACAATATGGTAGCGATCAAGGCTGGTCAGTCAGTCTTCCGTGCTTTATTTGTGATATTTAGATATTGCGGATACTAGGAAAAAAAAGACATTTTGCAACCTTTTTATCGAACTTCAGTGGATAATGATAATTCCCCTTTGCAGTTAAAAATAAGCTAATAAAACGTTCCTAGTAGTCAAATACCATTCGTACCTAAATCCCCACAACCAACACACAAAAAAGAGACCCGACGTACATTAGACCCAAAAGACAAATGATATCACATTTCACAACCCACAAGCGTATCTTAAACGCATAAATGAGGTAAGATGGCGAAATTGAGGTCAGATGGTTCTTTTATCAAATTACTGAAATGCATAATCAATACAAGTCTACGAACTCGTACCAACCAGTCACCTACCAGTCCTTTTTCAAGCTCAGAATGAAAAAAACATTCCAACTATATCAGTTTCCAAACCAGTGGTTAATCGTCATTTCCAAGTGAAACCGGGCTTTATAAACTCAGATTTGTACAATTATCCTCCAGAATCAGAATATTGCCCGTCAAGATAAACTTGCGGAATCAGCCAGCTTGGGGTCTCAAAAATTGGACAAGATATTCCACAACACAACCAGTTCGGAAATTATATAATCCTATATATCTCTGTGTACCTGCATTTCTTCACCAATTCTCTTTTCTTCCAGCTTCTCTCGTCTGTTGGCTTGCTCTATAGTAAAGCGTTTTTTGCACATAAAATATCATGTATCCTTGGGCAGCCCTCACAGTGTTGTCATTAACTTGAGTGATCCATGCATCATCACACTTGTACCAGTGGTTGTTCAATCTCAAATATGTCACGTAATGGCCAGCATCGAGTTTGCCAGCATGAGTTATGACAGCAAACAACTCAAACTCTGAAGAGAAATCAACAGAAGCATCTTCCTCATTCCCGTCAAATGAGAAGATTCTGTTTCCATACCGACTTCTTAAGATGGATGAAGAGAGGTACGGTGCCATGTCCAAGGAAAAGGGGAACTGTAGATAGCGGTCAATCTTTCTTGACATTTTACGGATTGGGGAGTGCTCAAATCTTTTTATGTGAAAACAATAAACGAGAGGAAGCTTTCTTATGGACATCTGCTTAAGCGATTCCTGCCTCACTTTACAATTTTGACAGAAGAACTTTTGCTCAGACCCTAATCTCTCGGGTCTAGTGAAACGATCTAGACAGCCCATCAAGGTTGACAAGCTTGAGTTTTGATCGGGATCTGCATCATCATGGGATGCACGATTTGATTTTGTAAATGCCGTTTTCGTAGAACCACCATGATTTGGTTCCAGGTCCAATGAGATATCTACACATGGATCATATGTTGTAGACGTAAAACCACAGGATGTACACATGACATCAGATCGCAATATGCCAGAGAATACACGGTGAGCAATACAACAATCTCCACTACCTGCACAAGAAAAAACCCAGTGGTTACCTTGTATCCCTGACCACAACCAACGGCTAGTAATAATTAATCAATTCTTAGAACATTCTTCCTATCTTATGGCTATATTCCCGCACAAATGGTTAATGCATCAATAGTATTGATTGAGACGGCAATTATTGATTCACACACTATAATAATGCTACATAACAATATATCAACCTGCCCCATGGCTTAGCAACATGTTATTATATGATTGATTTATTTGTTGGGGAGAACACGAGTTTCTCTAAATTGAACTAGTGGCATACTGTGAGGGATTCAGCAACACATTTTCCAAGGGATGACTGGAATGTTGCAGCTTAAGATAATTGTTCAATTGCGTTAAACAAAGTTGTGAATTCTTTCTCCGAAGGGGGGAAAAAGGAATAGCTCCAGATAAAAGAGGACAATAATTTTTTGAAACAAAAGGATTTTAACTGGGCAGAACCTAGCAAGCCGCAAGGTGAGATAAGCTGTCCTGAGGTCCTGAGGTAAACACCCTAAAAATGGCACATCTTGAGTCAACCAGCAAAATTAGTTTTGACACAAGAACCCTATGTTGAAAGCCAAGAGACCAAAGATAATGAGACTTACTGGAGTGAAGCAGAAGGCAAGCTTGTGGTCTGAAATAATGGCTCTATATCTGATAGCAGTTCTCAATTCCTAAGGCAACAAGAAGACCTAAACCCGCTTCCTGCATTTAAAAATTCCATTATCTATTCCAGAATTTAGGAACACCTAGATAAGATGTGATACCGGATTAGAGAAGAAAAGGGTACAGGACGGATCTTGAAATGTTCATGTTACGATATTGCTGATTGTTGAAGAAGTTTAGTATCTTCTTAAGAGTCGTGACTAATCTAAAACAAACATGACTTAAAAGTCGTCAGAGAACAAAAAGGTCCTTAAAAAAAAAAAAAGTAAAGCAAATGCATTACCAAGAGAAAATTGGAGGTCTCAAATCTTAACCAAAGCTCTCTTCCTTTTCTTTCCATCTTTCAATTAATTTTATTTATTGAATACAAAATCTAGCCTAACATGAATCTTCAAGATCATACAGGATAAGAAGAATTTTCAGGTAACCTTTTTGTCGGCACTTAGCAGCAATTGCAGAAGACTTGACACAATGAACATAACATAACATAAATTTTTCTCCAAAGATAAATATTAAATAAAATAATAATAATAATAATAATAATAATAATAATAATAATAATAATTATTATTATTATTATTATTATTATTATTATTATTATTATTATTATTATTATTATTATTATTATTTTATTTAATATTTATCTTTGGAGAAAAATTTATGTTATGTTATGTTCATTGTGTCAAGTCTTCTGCAATTGCTGCTAAGTGCCGACAAAAAGGTTACCTGAAAATTCTTCTTATCCTGTATGATCTTGAAGATTCATGTTAGGCTAGATTTTGTATTCAATAAATAAAATTAATTGAAAGATGGAAAGAAAAGGAAGAGAGCTTTGGTTAAGATTTGAGACCTCCAATTTTCTCTTGGTAATGCATTTGCTTTACTTTTTTTTTTTTTAAGGACCTTTTTGTTCTCTGACGACTTTTAAGTCATGTTTGTTTTAGATTAGTCACGACTCTTAAGAAGATACTAAACTTCTTCAACAATCAGCAATATCGTAACATGAACATTTCAAGATCCGTCCTGTACCCTTTTCTTCTCTAATCCGGTATCACATCTTATCTAGGTGTTCCTAAATTCTGGAATAGATAATGGAATTTTTAAATGCAGGAAGCGGGTTTAGGTCTTCTTGTTGCCTTAGGAATTGAGAACTGCTATCAGATATAGAGCCATTATTTCAGACCACAAGCTTGCCTTCTGCTTCACTCCAGTAAGTCTCATTATCTTTGGTCTCTTGGCTTTCAACATAGGGTTCTTCTTGTGTCAAAACTAATTTTGCTGGTTGACTCAAGATGTGCCATTTTTAGGGTGTTTACCTCAGGACCTCAGGACAGCTTATCTCACCTTGCGGCTTGCTAGGTTCTGCCCAGTTAAAATCCTTTTGTTTCAAAAAATTATTGTCCTCTTTTATCTGGAGCTATTCCTTTTTCCCCCCTTCGGAGAAAGAATTCACAACTTTGTTTAACGCAATTGAACAATTATCTTAAGCTGCAACATTCCAGTCATCCCTTGGAAAATGTGTTGCTGAATCCCTCACAGTATGCCACTAGTTATCTTTCTCTTCTAAGCAGATGCACCCCACTAAGTACACAGCCAATACATTTCCACCATATAAAATGAATGCACACTAATTTTGTAACAATGATAAAATAGCTAGCATTTACTGGATAAATTACGAACTACGGAAACCTGATATTAATATTTATACAATCTCGGTGAAAACACAAAACACATAAATGCGGACCTGTATAAAAACTTTGCAGGGCTATAAGGTATCCGGTCCCCCGAGAACACTGCCGAAAACATTGCATCCAAATCACACGCCAAACACAGCAGCGGATTCTTACTGTTACTGTGTTCAGTCTTTCGTGTAATAATGGTTTTATTTTCTCGCTGGCAGTAAAATCGGTTGTGCTTATCGCTCAGAAAGAAATTCCTCAACGGCGGAGTGTGAAGCAACGCTTGCAACACGGAGTTCATAAAACATGTGTTTCCCAGATTGTTGAGACCTCTCAATCCCCAAGGAAGATCTGATTCACCATCAATTAAACTCACCGATGAACGGTCTTGGCTCGGTGAGTCACCGGGTTGACTCGGCGGCAAGGGGCTCGAGTTCTGCGCCAATAAGACCCTCTCCTTGAGATCCGGTGTCCAGAACTTGTAATCCACGCGGCGGCGCTTATGAAAATTCTCAGGCGGGATGGCCGATCCAATCCCCATCGCAACGGCGTTGGTCTGGGCGGCAACCACAGCAGCGTCGAAGTCCCGATCATACACTTGTTCCTCACACGCAGAGCAGAAGAGTTCAGCGCGGTCGACATCAACCATAACATAATGAGAAGATTCCGCCACGTGAGTAGCCGTGTGGGTGCGGCAAGTGACGGTGGCGCATGATACACAGGCGTATAGCCGTGGTGGCGAAAGGCCACACGAGCTACATTGTACGACCTCGCCCGGTGGATCACGACGGATGGCGGCGCGGCCCAGCGGTCGGATCCGAAGACACTCCTGAAGCTTCCCGAACGGATTTGTCCCTAAATGCGAACGTAGCTGCGACAGATGCCGGCAAGAACAATTAGGGTTTGAAACTACTGTAAAATTGCTTCGAAGATTCTTGTGATCTGATGACGATGATGACATTGGATTTGAAAAGCGTAAAATCAGACACCGCATGAAATGTGGAAATATAAAGAATGCGATTGAAACAACCAAACTTCATGGATTTTGCATGGATAACAAAATAACAAGCTGATTTTGTCCATTCAGATCTGAGAAATTCATGTCCTTTTATTGTATTTTTTTTTTATACCCACGTATCCCAACTTCGCCATACTAAATTCTGGACCTTTAGTCATCGACCTTTGTGACTCGAGAAGGTAAATCGCAGGTTATGCCCTTATTGGCTCCCAGGTTCCCACTTGGTTTATACTCCTCACCCCAAGAGAATCCTCCTCACTACGTTAATCAGGAATCGAACTCTCCACACTGAGATTGCAAGCCCGTCATAGTATTGTATTTTTGACTCAGTGTACAGATGAACAGAAACAAGAGAATTTTTGAAATTTTCTGATTTTTATTTTGAAATAGGTAAAATTACATAATATCAAGGTTTAAACATCATAATTTAAAAATGAGGGCCAAAGTTCATTATTTAGAAATCAGATATTGATTTAATAATTTAAATATTAAATATTTGACCCAAACTCAATTTCAACCCTAATTCCTCTCTCTCTCTACCATCTATATTCTCTTCCTTTTCTCTACCATAAAATAACATTGTTGCCACTAGCGGCGAAGCTCTGAAGCAACCTTAACGACAACTATCTTGTTTGTTTTCACTCTCTTCTCCTCTAAACAACCTCACTCAGTAGCTCCATCGTTTTTCAATCTCCTCGTCGATAGCGTTCACTTACTCCGACGATGACTTATTTTTGTAGCCCGCTAATGCAGCGTTGCGACGCTGTTGCGAACACAACTTCGTAATACTGCAATTCTTGGTGTCGACTAGTGCCGACGTTGGGGGGTTTGGGATTTTTTTCTCTCTCTTCCCGATCTGAGGAGGTTGTAGTGAATCGTAAATATAGGCGATAGTATCGTGCAGTGGCGGTGGTAACCGCGATTTGGGGGTTAGTTGGTAGAATTGGTGGTTGTGGTTACAAGAAGAGGTTGATTAGAGGTGTAGTTGGCGAGGTTGTTGATTGAACTGGTGTTGTGGTCACAAGAAGAGGTGGTTGTGTGTCGGTTGAGATCGTGGTAAGGTTGTAGCTTGTGTATTGTTGGTATGTTTGGTGGTGGCAATCGTGGTGGTTTCTAGCGACGGTGAAGTGGTTGGTGGTTTGAGAGTTGATTGTCGTGGTTTTTGTTAGCAGTTAATTGGATTTGGTGGTGACGATTTTGTTGATGGTGATATCGTGGTGTTGGGGGCGATGTTGACGGGGTGAGAGTAGTGGCAAGTGGTTGTGTTGGCTGTGGAGGCGGAGGCGGTATGTGTCCTACTATTTGACCTGTGACCGACTATATAACTGTGGTCTTAAAATTTGATAATTGTGACTAACAAATTCTAAAATATGTGACTGACTTATAAATTGTGACGTATAATTTTTTCATCCTTGACTAGTAAAATAAATTGTGCCCTATATAATTTTTGATTTATGAACTCGAAATAATTTGTGATCGATTAATTTGATAATACGTGACTAATAAATAAGTTTGTGACCTATAATTATTACTTGTGACCATTAATGGTATAAATGAGGCCTTATTATTTTTAATTAATAAATAAAAAAACTTGATTTTTGCATTTTTTAAAACTTTAGACATGAAATTTGAATTGTCCATACTTAATGTCTTAATTGTGAATTTTTCACTTTGCAATATTTAGGCCCTCGTTGAGCCACATTATTTTCATAAGAACGGATTTTTTATTAATTTATTGATGGAAAATATGTGTTTAAAAAATAAGGAAAAATTTTAAATTTACGTATAATATTATCTTATTGAAGAATGTGTTATTAGAATGATATCAAATTACTGTTTAAAAATGTATCTTTCTGAAAGAATGTAAATCAAACAGGCCTAGAAGGAAAATGAAAAATGAGATTACTTGCAAGGTTCAAAGAGTTCTTTAAATGGAAAAATTAGTTCCTCGTTTGATTCCCATTACTTTAAAGATATTTATTTTTCTCTGTTATTTTTAATAACACATTTTCAATAAAATGATATTACATACAAACTTAAAATTTTTCCATATTTTTTAATTACACATTCTCTATTAAAATACTATTTTAAAATACTTTTTTTTGGTAAAAAAAAATGAGGCTGAAACATGCTCTAGGAATGATCATGGGTTGGATTGGATCGGTTTTGGACCTGATCCAAACAAGCCAAGTTTGCCTGCTTGGGTAGGATTGGTCGATTTTTATCTTTCAAATATTCAGAAAATAACATAAGTTCTCATCTTTCACTACCACCACATCCTCGTTGTCGTCCCTGAAAAATCAAATACCAAATTGCAAGTCCCACTATTGCTATAATAAGAACCTTGACATTTAATGACCTCAAATAAAATTACTTACTTGTAGCATCGCGCCGACGAACTTTGAGAAGGGTAAATTTTGAAATATAATATTAGGAATATTTTTTATTATTAAAACATATGAGAATATTTTTGAGAAAAATCTAATGAACATATTAAGAGCCTGTTTGAGCCACATTATAATGAGAATGAGAATGAGAAATAGAGCCGTTATGGGCCCCACACCAGAGATAGAAATTCAAAAATGGTGACTTGATGTGATGGACAACGGTCATATTTTTCATTTTAATGAGGTAAAAATGTGGCTCAAACAGGGGCTAAATTGGTTTTATATTTATCATATATATTTTCTTTCATGCATTGGATAGAGTTTAACCCATAATTACCTAAATATAACCAATCGCCACTCTTATTCAAAATATTTCACCTACAAAAATCCAAATTAAAAGAAAAGTTTTGATTCTATTGAAAACTAGAAAAGTAGAGAAATAAAAATATAACACACATATGTATAACTTTAAAGAATTAAATCGACATGTCAATGTCCTACTTTTTTGAAAATCCTGTGTTGGCATGCTCAAGTTGTAGGGCTGGACATGGTCCAATTTAGGTTCGATTCGTTGGTTCTAAAGAGAATCGAACCAAACCCAAATTGTCCGATGTTTGGCAAGTAGAACCATTGGGTTCAAAATTAATTATAAAAATCGTATGGATTTGGTTCTATTCGGTTCGGTTCCATTTGGTTCATGAGTTCCATTTAGTAATTAAATTTTCTTAATATTTACAAAAACACTACATTAATTCAACTAATAATATGTTCGATCATAACTTTTACAAAATAACATAGTCCAATTTTATGTATTATTTGTGCATATCTTTGTTGAGTTTTTCATAGATTTGATTGTTAAAGTTACAGAAAGGGGAATATAGCAAACTTACAATAATGAAGAGAGGCGTAGCCAAGCTTCCAATTCGATTTTTCCAAAACTTTAGAAATAACACTATTGTAAAATAATAGATTTAGATAAAACTTATGTCAATTTGATTAAGTTGGGATTGTGCTGAACATTAGAAATAGAAAAATTATATTTTGGGTTTGAGATAAATTAATTTGTTAGCAAATTTATTAACAAATTAATTTAGAAAAAATAAAATAATTTGGGTTATTTAAGATAAATAAATTTAAAAACAAGGGAGATTCGATTCTTATTCGGTTCTTTGGTCTGGAACCGAGAACCGAAATGAACTGAACCATTCGATTCTCAATTCAGATATCCGTTCGGGTATTTAATTTAAAAAGAATAGCTCGATTTGGATCCTGATTGATCCGATTCGATTCAAGAGTTTTGTCCAGCCCTATCAAGTTATGTCATGCCCTGATCCATGCTTCTTCCCTTAGTTTCAAAGTGCCAAATTAGAAACATGCTTCCACACCGGAGGGTTTTTCAATATATGTTGGCCGGTTTTAAAGTTTTTGAATATTCCAAGACTGCTGGTTTAAGAAAGCTATGCATGTTTAGTTTTTAAAGGTATTTACAAACTATTAACAGGATGGGTCATGGAGTTCTTGCCTTTTAGATTGATTGAAAATTAGAAGAGATGGAACTGCAAAATAATTTAAGATAGAAGATATATTGTTCTTAGCTTCCATATATCTGCAAATCCACATAGGAATTGAATAATAATCTAGAAACAGAAAATGTGATGTAATGAATTAATGAAAGAGTGAACCTAGTGGATTTTCCAAAAATGAAATGAAATTTTGGGCTTAGGAATCAATTTTAAAGTAAAAACCATGTCAGTTTGGACTTAATGTAAGCTAATTATGAAGGTTCTCACTGGATCCCTCATGTTGTCTAAAGTTCTTGCATGCAGACAGTTCATTAGTAATTCACTTAGTTCAATTGCAGATGAAAGATCCCTGTTGTACTAATTGTTCCTGCAGGAAAATTGCTCTACTGGGAAAGAGATAATGTTAGACTTTCCTATAATTCTCCAATGGAAGATGCTGGATGTTGCTTTTGAAATCTTCCAAGACCTAAGCTTTCTGACCAGGTAGACATAAAACAAAGAAGAGAGATTTTGTGAAGGAAATGGGGAAGGACCATCAGATTCCCCCTGCTGTCTTATTGTTCCAGCGCTACATCTATGTCGCTGAAGGTCTTATGCTGGTAATGATCATGTAAGATGAATATTTGGTTCAAATTTTCAGTCATAAGGTTGTGCTCTGTTTGGTTTTGACATTACTAAACACAGCACAGTAATTGAGTGATGTGTAATTTTCAAGTTTTGACGAATAACTTCTGATTAATGCTGTACCATATAAAATCTGTTGCGGTATAAATTATCAGAGCTGAGTTTTATCAAGAGAGTGAGCAACAAGATCCATTTTACAGAATAGGTGGAAGCTCTTAAAGCAATAGATTGTGAAAGTGGAAGCTTTGCATCTGGTTTATCCTATTTTCTCGATAAATCTTTTACTCATAATGACTTCATACCAATCATTTAGCTCAAATATTAGGTGCATATTAGGTAGTAGTGGACACGCACGTTTGTACAGTATAATAACAAGATTGTAACTTCCTTATTGATGATACTATCCATCGTATCATACTCTGTACCAAACACGTCGTAAAATTTCTTTTGTACCCTGTTGTGATATTTCTTGGCTGTCTCTTTTTTGGTTATTCCTTTCTGCCAACTGTGACTTGTGAACAAGAAAATTAGTTGAATTCTTGAAACTTTTGGTTAGTATGTTATTTAATTTTCTTTTTATTTATTAATCAATCAATTATTGTATCTTTCAGTAATTTGTTGTCCATAGAATTATTTAATGAAAAGGAAATAAGAAAAGGACCATAAGGTCCATAACAGACGTAAATTGGTATGAGAGTTTATACGGTGGTTCTGAGGTCTATTCTATTAGCTACGGTGACCGAGCATGTTTGGCTTTGCTTCTTTCTCAAAGAAAGTCATTTTAAATTTTAGCAAATTTTTTTTCGAGCTCAACTGCTTTTTGCCACACGAATGAAGAGCACAACATTCTTGACCCTGTCAACCGTTATTAAACTTAGACTGCGTTTGACAACCATTAAAATGAGTTGTTTTGAGAAAATGAATTTTTGAATAGTGATTTTTTTGGAGGATGTGTGACTACAATGTAGGAAAATGTTTTGAATTTACATGCAGAATATTTAATTTTGAGAATGTGTAATTGAAAATGAATTTGAGAAAAAAAAAAGTTTTGTTTTAATGAGTGTCAAATACGGGCTTAAAGTATTTTTTTTGAGGACCCAATATAGCTTTTAGCATTATTTTCTATGCATCATTTTGTCTCATTTCATTTGCAAATTAACGATTTTGATAACATGACAAAACAAAATCTTTAAATTTTCAAACGATTTGCGGTGACAAATGTGAAACTTAGTTTAAAGTTCAGTAAAAATTAAAAGTAAAGTGATGGTTAGGAAAAAAATTTATAGTGATTATATTTGAAAAAGTTTTAAAGCTCAGGGACTGCTGGGAAACAGAATAAATAAATTGATTTTCATGATTCAGAGCATAAATTTTTGGGTAATTATATTAATATCACAATTTTTTTTACACCACAATTTAATTGTATTAAAAATCCTCAATCTTTTCTTATTAATTTGGCTATGCAATACATCAAACTCTAAATCAACTGTAAGTGTTTTGCCTTATATCCAATCGATTTAGGTTGTAAACGCTTTTAATATATTTAATGCATTTGATTTTGACGAGATCTATTATTTATTTAAATTAATTTTGTGATAAATAATATTAAATAATAGAATTCGAAGATCCAAGTTTTAGGTAATCTGTTAATCACAAGGAGTTGTGATTGTGAGATACAAATTACATATAATTGGATCTTGAATAAACCATGGTCGTAAGTAATAACGAGATGCGGATATCGTTGATACAGTTAGACCATCACGTGTGGCATTTCTTACTTGTGAAGTAAGTAGCTGATCTCACGAGTTAAAGTGTGGTGACACTTAAATGAACACGTGGATGTTTTGTTATAGAACAAAACATTGGAGACCCACTAAAAGATTCCACATGGGTAACTATCGGAGTGTCAGTGGTTAATCTCTAACGTTCGGTAGTGGAATTGGTCATTTGACTTGAGGTCGTCATGCTACATTATATGAGGATAGTCATACTTTGGCAGTGTTGGATGTTGCTCTGAAAAGGGCCGCTAATACGACATCGTTCGGGTACGTTAAGAATCGTATGAAGGTTGTGATTGATCAATAAAGGATTCATCACTCTTAGATAGTAGGAGATTATGATCTGCGTTTTATTCAATTAAGTCGATGATGAAATCCTTGGCCAAGGTGTACTCTTAAGTCGAAAAGGAGTTTTCGGTTTATATTGACTTGATAGTGGAGTGAAAGATATGATCGATGATCGAGATTGACACAATTCCATATCTCGTAATTGATCGGATCATATTGATGAAGGGATAATAGTTTCATGGTAAACGAACGAATTTGGTTTTATCATACCACGTAATATTTCCCGTCACATGTATTGCCCTGACACATTGCTAGATGTCAATCAGGGACGGCGAGTGTGAATTGACGATAAATTAAAAGGGTGTTTTAATTTATCAATTTTGATTAGATCAAAATAATATTTCACGACGTTAGGTATCGTGGTTGGAAACCTAATGGGTCGCACACAAAAGAGAATTGGAAGATTGCAAATTGCCAATTGGTTAATTTAACAATCGTTGGATAAATTAATTAATTGGATTTGTTATTATATTCCCGAATTAATTAATTGGATTAATTAATTCACGGACCAGGTTTAATTAATTGGATTAATTAAATATTGGACCGGACCGGACCGGACCGGGCAGGGTCCGTTTGGGTTTATATATATACATAGTTAGGGTTTGAGGTCCATAAAGTTTTCATTATTCTTACTGGCACAAGAGAAAAACCCTAGCAGTTGCAGTCTATTCTCTGTGTGGATTTCATTGGTGGCTGGACAATTGGACAGCTGTGGGAGGCAGATTCAAAGTGCTGAAAAGGAATAACGCGAAGGAGTTTGCAAATTAAATAAAAGATATATTTCTTATCACAGTTTTTATCTAAATACAAAGTTGAATTCTGAATGGGAATTGAAATTTGTTAAATTCCGCTGTGTATGTTTAAGTAAATTCCCAACAGTGGTATCAGAGCCAACTTTGTATTTATTAGGAACTGTTTAACGTGTTGATTAAATTAAAT